ATCAAGTAGGGTAAGTAAGTGAGTCTGTAATTCAGAATGACCAATGAGAAGTCTAAGGTTACCGATAAACTTTCAATGATAAATGCAATGTATTTTGGAACACCATCACAGTGGAACCCTTTGTAATGACAACCTCGGTGATATGGTCATCTTGCTAATACTGTCACTTTTTAGGGCCATACAAAGCGGCCATATGTTTTGTTATAAAAGCAAAATAAACTTTCACTCATGCAGTGACCTATTGATATGGCCAACAGCCTCATTTTAAAATCCCAAACTGCATAATCCTTTAGAATTGATCTCTGTCATTTACTAATCAAACAGCTGATTTATTAACAAGTAAAAGAAATATTTACTTTACCCTGTTTTCATTATGAACATGAAAAAGGAAATAAATCTTGATGCCAACATCTGCTTAGGCAACTAGCCAAGTTTGCCACCTTGTTAATTTCATCCAGCTAATTTTTTTTTGGCTCCTCCTTTAGTTCCAGCTTTCAAACAATCTTTGGTTGAGTAGTTCTGAATGTATCGCTGAAAAGTTCCTGCACATGTAAATATTGGTTCTTCCAAAAGTGCTTCGCAGCCCTCAGTAGCAAGTCACTGACCCCACAATTTGCGACTAAGACTCAAGAAGGAATGATCTTAGTTTCAGGCTGCTTCAGTCTTTAAGATTATCAAACTACACTTTGTAGAGTATAAATAATGCCATAGACGAGTACAAATATCACGCGGTATTTGTACTGTAGAGTACTGGTTAAACAGGGTTTCTCGCATCGCGCAAGTGAAGAATTGAATTGTAGTTATGAAAAAAAAAATAGTGGACAATTTGAATCATATTTCTGACGACGAAGAGTCAGAATGGCTGGCAAATATACATCCAAGTTTATTAGATGAATCGAAAGAAGAAAAACAGCTAGATAACCTGGAAATTTCTTCATTTATTGAAGAAAAAAGAAACAGCAACATGACAATGTGCCAATTCTCTTCCGCTTCGCATACTTGTGTCACGCCCCCCCATAAATAAATATCCGCAAAATTTGCCCACACTGAAATAACAGTTTGGTGTGTTGGATAATAAATAACTTATTAGATGTTTTGTTGTGTAGTATTGCTGAGTAGTTTTACTCGTTATTTGTATTTTGACGAGCCCATACAAGCCGGTAGGGCTCGTCAAAATACAGCACAACTCGTTAAAATACTCATCGATACTACACAACAAAACGTCTAGTAAGATATATATATTGAACCTTTTGGGTTTTGCATAATAGGGGTGCTACAAGGTCAATTTTTTTCTCGCTTTTCCTCCACAACTAGCATAGATAGTAATGTTGTATGGGTCAACTCTCTGGTCAAACTGCTCAGCTGATAACTTAACGAGAATCCTCAAGCTGCTAAAATGTGCTACCCGAGTAATTTAGGGAGCTGACACAAGATCAAATAGCGTAAATCTTTTTAATAAATTAGGGTGGCTCCCATTTTATGATGAAGCTAGAATCAGTAAGTGCTCACCAGTCCCTAAGTGCCTTCAAGGAAACTGCCCCAGCTACATGTATGACCTTCTTAAATGCAATGCAGATTTACGCACACGCAGTGGGCGGTACAGTGCCTTAAACCTCGTCTGCCCCAGATATAATCGTGTATCTGAGGGCGGGAGAACTTTTAGCGTGTCTGCAACCAGGCTCTGGAACTCTCTGCCTATTAACCTTCAAAAAGTAACATGTGTAACCTCATCTAGAAAGGCTATTTATAGAATTTTTTAACCAGATACAATGATGTTGATCATTTTAGCGTAACTGAAACTTAATTTTATTCATAGTTTTATGCTAATCGAACCTTTCATAACCTTCCTCTCGCTTGACCTATCCCAGCTGTATTCTTATTTTAATTATAGTTTGTAGATATTCATTGTAAGAATATTTTTATAAGACCGTAATATAGTTTTTACTATTGTTAGTCCTATTCATACATACACTTATACTTCCTTTCTTTATGACATGTATTTTGTTACTTAACTTTGTTTTACAAATTTAGTTTGAGGGCCACTAGTTACTCAGTTGAAGCACTGTCAACTGTTACCCTTGTTAAATAAAGTTGATTGATAGATTATTTTGAAATTGCAATGAAAACCACCTTTGATTAATTCACATCCTTTTGTGCACTGATCAGAAGCCTCTAGCATGCCATAGACATCCAACTACAAATCTAGAAATAGAAGTTATAAAAAGAGTTTGACTGGCTAAACAAAGAACATGTTTAGAAGTTTTTTTTGTTTTTTTTTAAAGACATGCCTCTTAGAAGATAGACAATGACTACAATGTAATTTTAAACTTGGGCTTTACCAAAGGAAGCCCATGTAACAACTCAAACCAGAATATACCCTTTGACTGAAACCACATCTGTTCATTTGGGTTGCTATTTTTCTTATATTGCTGTTAAGGAGAACTTGTTGTGAACTATGTTTAATGGGTTTGTGAACAGATTCCAGATGACTGGGAAAATCCCTCGGGCAAGTTTTTCATTGGAGTGAGGAGTGCCTATAGTTTGTTTCCAGGAAAGCTGAGAGAGAGGCGAGTGGTGAGTAACTGAAAACATCATGTGTTCTTGCTTCTAAATTATGGTGTTCTTTTGCAACTCTAATCTTTAAGTTGGTAATGTTTGGAATGTAGCTTTCCCTAGTGGGTTCCATCACCAGATTCAAAACTTTGTATTTTTATCTTTTGATTGAAATATTTTATAGCAGAGTTGTGACAGGATAGTTGTGGAAGACAGTAGAATTATAAAAACATCATTGGGCCATTCAGTGACAACTCCAGTATTTTCTGTTCACATAGCTCTGTTGTCTCACCATTTCCAGGAGGCAGTTAGTCATTTATTAAGTTTTCTAGTGATCCTTAGGTGACTGAAACTATTCACAGGCAACTCTTTACACCCTAACATCAGTGTGCATATTCTCCGTGCTATTCTCTATACATTTCCTAAGGTGCTGTCAAGGAGAATTTTTAACAGTGGAGAGCTTCTTTAGTTGGTGATCATGTCCCTTATTCTCCTGACCTTAATGTGTGATTCAGGGGTGATATTGTAAGGAGAAATAAGAGGCTGGTCCCTCTTAGAGGTCAAAGGGTTTGGTGCATTTTTTTAATCAGTGTAAATTAGGTTATAACTAGTGCTTTCAGACTCAAGGTGTTTTGATTGATGATAACCTGTCATGTTCACCTTTAGAAAGAAAGGCGTGAGAAACTCTGGGACCCACCCCACCAGGTGTGCATTGCAGAGGCAACAAGGAGGCTTGATCAATGGGATGCAGAACATCCAGATCCTTCTGTGGTAAGTGTTTTTCTCAAACACCATTAAGTGATTAAGCATGTTGTTTGGATATGGTTTACTTAGCGACTTCCCCGAGTCGAATGAAGGAGACTTTTATCCTCAGGTGTCAGCTTTTTTCTTAAAAAACTTGATCATATCTCGCAAGATACCATAACTTCTGAAGGAGATTTGATTATTTTTTCAAGGTGTTCTACATATTTTCAAGGGTGTTCTGAAGAGATGTACAGTTGTAAATGTGTTTCCACTGCTTTCCTTTCACAACTTAAGTTTCTGGCAGGTTTGTGTTTGTTCACAAGGAATTTTCTTCCCCATGGCTATGGTGGGATCAGGGTGGGAAAAAGCTTTTCAGTCCTGTAAGATTGGTGCGGAAAGAGGAAAGGAAGAGAAAAAAACAAAGAACAACAATCTTATGATAAAATCGTTCTCAGCTGAGTTAAGTCACAGTGGATGGGAAAATATATTCAGTGGTCAGTCATGACCCATTGACCAAGGGTGGCAATCTGCTTGTTTCATGTCCTCAAGCCAAATATTTTCTTGTGTGGCCCTCCCACTCAGTCAGAACCTATTATTATTATTTTTTTGTACAAAGCATGAGAAGTTAATCAGAGAAGATCTTCAAGCTCAAGTGGAGACCCTTAACAGTCTTGAAAAGAACTACTCTGACACTGGTCCTATTTTTGATTGTATTGTGTTTCATGATGGATACACTTGGAGGTAATGAGTGAAACTTTTGATTGTATTGTGTTTCATGATGGATACACTTGGAGGTAATGAGTGAAACTTTTGATTGTATTGTGTTTCATGATGGATACACTTGGAGGTAATGAGTGAAACTTTTGATTGTATTGTGTTTCATGATGGATACACTTGGAGGTAATGAGTGAAACTTTTGATTGTATTGTGTTTCATGATGGATACACTTGGAGGTAATGAGTGAAACTTTTGATTGTATTGTGTTTCATGATGGATACACTTGGAGGTAATGAGTGAAACTTTTGATTGTATTGTGTTTCATGATGGATACACTTGGAGGTAATGAGTGAAACTTTTGGTAAGACTCACCCCTCATCCCTTGCAACTTTCCCTTTTCCCCTTGCCATTTGTTCCTACCTCTTGGCAATGGGAGTCATTGTTTTTCTCTTAACTCTCCCCTTGCTTTAATGAAAACCATTTACAGCATGGATTCTTTGCATTTTCAAAAATCGTAAAAAAAAAAAACACCATTTGAAATGGGATCTAAAGCAGTAATTTAAATACAAGTAAATTTTGTTCATTAATATGCTGCTTATCCCAATCATAAACCAAAGGTACAACGTAACCTTTTGCACAGTGTTAGATTTATCAGACTATTTTTGTTTCGCCCTCTGTCTTTCTCTAGGAGATTTTGTTCAGGGGAGAAGCAAGGGTGGGCTAGTGAGGCCCTTTTTAAAAATCTTGAAGCTTTAGACATGGCCTCAAATCTTTGATCCCTGAGAATTGAGTAGGGGCTAATTCCTCCTTACAATATCACCCCTGCATCAAGCACGAAGGTGACAAGAATAAAGGAACTGATCACCAACTAAAGAAGCTCTTGATTTTCAAACAAATTCTCCTTGTTACCACCTTTGGTGTTGTTCAGGGAATAGTGTGGAGAATATGTACAATGATGTTGGATCATAAAGGGTTAAAGGAGCATTTTATAATATGATATTTTATTCTAAAAGTACATTTGAAATAAAGTTTAGAAACTATATGGAAGAAGTTTGAGAGGATCTTGTAGAGGTAGTTTTTTCAAAGGTTGCCCCTGTACTGTCTATAGAGCTTGTGTTGACACATCTGAGACTGGAGACTTAGCCAGCTGTACTCTGCTGTCAAATTACCGAGAATCTGGACAGTATGCCACATTTGGAAAAGAAGGTATTTAATAGTTAGAACTTAATGTCTATATTCCCCCATCCCCTGAACTCAATTTTTCCCACCACCTTTGATCAGGACTTAGAGGAGAGCACAGGTTTACTTAAAACTCGGATCATAAAGGGTTGCTTCTTGGGGGCTTTTCTGAATATAAATTATAATACTGCATGAATTATTTTTCAGATTTGTTCAACTACAGCGTCAGCATTTATGATGAAGGCAAAATACTGTCTATAGTAGCAAATGGAGGTTTGTACATTTGCATCATTCAAGATTTCAGACTGGAGTGATTTTATTTACATGAGTGGTAAATGCTTCTTGTTTTGTGCCTCCAGGTACACATGGTACTCATGTGGCCAGCATAGCAGCAGGTTATTGTCCAGACGATCCAGCATTGACAGGTGTTGCTCCTGGTGCTCAGGTGTATATTATATTGTAGTTTTGACCCTTTAACTCCCACAGGTGATTAACATGTAACTTCTCCCTGTAGTATCCATAGGCACAGGCAATAAGAATACTCAAACTTATCAGTTATTCTGTATTCTTTATTCTAATGGCGTTTAAACGTATGATGCACGATCCTCGCAGTAGATAGCGCTATTTATGCAATAGCGAAAATCAGACCTGAAAAAAATCAGGCCTGTACGGGACTCGAACCACTGACCTCTGTGATACTAGTGCAGCACTCTGCCAATTGAGCTAACAAGCCAACTGGGAGCAGGCTGTTAAGTTGGTTCGTAATAAACCCGTGAAAGTGATAAATGAGATAGAA